ATAGTCCTTACACAGCCTGGAGGTGTGTTGGGTCATTGTCCTGTTGAAAAACAAATGATAGTCCCACTAAGCCCAAACCAGATGGGATGGCGTATCACTGCAGAATGCTGTGGTAGCCATGCTGGTTAAGTGTGCCTTAAATTCTAAATAAATCACAGACAGTGTCACCAGAAAAGCACCCCCACACCATAACACCTCCTCCTCCATGCTTTACGGTGGGAAATACACATGCGAAGATCATCCGTTCACCCACACCGCGTCTCACAAACACACGGCGGTTGGAACCAACAATCTCCAATTTGGACTCCAGACCAAAGGACACATTTCCACCGGTCTAACATCCATTGCTCGTGTTTCTTGGCCCAAGCAAGTCTCTTCTTCTTATTGGTGTCCTTTAGAAGTGGTTTCTTTGCAGCAATTCAACTATGAAGGCCTGATTCACACAGTCTCCTCTGAACAGTTGATGTTGAGATGTGTCTGATACTTGAACTCTGTGAAGCATTTATTTGGGCTGCAATTTCTGAGGCTGGTAACTATAATGAACTTATCCTCTGCAGCAGAGTTAACTCTGGGTCTTCCATTCCTGTGGCGGTCCTCATGAGAGCCAGTTTCATCATAGCACTTGATGGTTTTTGCGACTGCACTTGAAGAAACTTTCAAAGTAATTGAAATGTTCCGTATTGACTGACCTTCATGTCTTAAAGTAATGATGGACTGTCATTTCTCTTTGCTTATTTGAGCTGTTCTTGGCATAATATGGACTTGGTCTTTTACCAAATAGGGCTATCTTCTGGATACCCCCCCACACCTTGTCACAACACAACTGATTGGCTAAAAGAAGGAAATCAATTCCACTAATTAACTTTTAAGAAGGCACACCTGTTAATTGAAATGCATTCCAGGTGACTACCTCATGAAGCTGGTTGAGAGAATGCCAAGAGTGTTCAAAGCTGTCATCAAGGCAAAGGGTGGCTATTTGAAGAATCTCAAATATAAAATATATTTTGGTTTGTTTAACACTTTTTTGGTTACTACATGATTCCATATGTATTATGTCATAGTTATGATGTCTTCACTATTATTCTACAATGTAGAAAATAGTAAAAATAAAGAAAAACCCTTGAGTGTGTAGATGTTCTAAAACTTTTGACCGGTAGTGTAGACATACACACAAATACATGCACGCATGCATAATCACACACACATCACTACTCAATCCATCAATCACCTTGATATAGGTACCATACCATACCCTCCGCAATTTGTAATTGTTAGGTACCTGAAAATAAGTACAAGAAAGTACTGACAGCTATCACAATATGTTATTTTAATCTGAATACATAGGACAGTACTGACAGCTATCACAATATGTTATTTTAATCAAAATACATAAAACAGTACTGACAGCTATTACAATATGTTATTTTAATCTGAATGCATAAAACAGTACTGACAGCTATCACAATATGTTATTTTAATCTGAATACATAAAACAGTACTGACAGCTATTACAATATGTTATTTTAATCTGAATACATAAAACAGTACTGACAGCTATCACAATATGTTATTTTAATCTGAATACATAAAACAGTACTGACAGCTATTACAATATGTTATTTTAATCTGAATACATAAAACAGTACTGACAGCTATCACAATATGTTATTTTAATCTGAATACATAAAACAGTACTGACATCTGTCACAATATGTTATTTTAATCTGAATACATAAAACAGTACTGACAGCTTTCACAATATGTTATTTTAATCTGAATACATAAAACAGTAATGACATCTGTCACAATATGTTATTTTAATCTGAATACATAAAACAGTACTGCCATCTATCACAATATGTTATTTTAATCAACACATAACACAGTACTGACAGCTATTACAATGTTATTTTAATCTGAATACATAATAGAGTATTGACAGCTATCACAATATGTTATTTTAATCTGAATACATAAATGTATCAGTGAATATCCACCTATATGTGTGTTCTTCTTTACTTTTAAGTTCCAATTCTCAGTGTATTTATAACATATAGTTAGTGGACGTCTCAGTCTGCACCAGAATACATAGGTCAGTATTTCAGACGTCTTTTGTTTGAGTGACAGCTCTGATTTCCAAATAGGAGAACAAGCTAGGAAGAGCGAGGGAGAAAAGAGAGAGAGAGAGGGAGTGAATTAATTGGATACAGAAAATTAGCATAACATTAATGAATGCTCCCGAGAGAGAGAGAGAGAGAGAGAGAGAGAGAGAGAGATTCTTATTTTTTGTATTATTTTTAAGATTCCTAGCAGCTAACCATGAAAATAATTATGGAAAGCATATGGAATATATTGACTGTAGTTTTGGAGAAGTGTGTGCCTACAGTATATTATTGAGTTATTTTGCATAACTCGAATTACGCAGACAGCCTTGCTTTCCAGTTATTGACAATATATCATCCATTACCTATAGGAGATTTCGCTAATGGCCATTAGTGTAACGCTAATAGGCTATTCCTTTGAGTTTTATTTTTATGACACCCCACAACCTACCTAATCTATCCCAAACAAAACACCCCTTGCAATTTTTCACCAACAAATCCTAGTCAAATTAGGAATTAGCTGACTTTGAGGTTGGCGTGGTGTCAATTTCATACTGTACTTTGAGTAAATATCATCGGTCTTCCTCACGTCACAGTGAGATGTAACGATTTCTCTCTTGCTATCTTATTGTCGCTGTTCAAATAAAATACGCCCTTTCCTCACATAAATGCAGTCTTTATTGTCTTTCGAAAGGCGCCCATGCATTTCCCACCGTCTATCAGTTCTTCCCAAAGAGACTGACGGTTTCCTGGCCAAGTGTCAAAACAAGCGTTTTGTCGGTCACTGTATTTAAGCCTTTCCATGTATTAGAGCCGTGCAGCAGACTTCCTACCATTCAACCTGAAAATAGCACTTGTTTTCAGGCTCAAATCCAGGGATTGTTCGCTGAGCTAGGGGGGATATAGCCGTGTCAAGAGGACAGCAACAGAGAAACAACATGGGTTTAGTATGCTACATGTGCTACATGCATGTTCACTTCGCCTGCAGACAGTCCAATGGCATTTGGAAATTATTCCTTATGATCTAAAAGGCTAAACTGATCCTATATACAGACCCAGGTCTGTTTTGATAGGCCTACATATGTAGCATCTTAATTTGAGCCAGTTTGCTACAGCAGGAAAATAATCCTGCAGCAACAGGAAATGTGAATTATTATGTGATTATAATGAATGGACATTTTTGTCTGGGTTTATACATTTTTCGTAAGTGAAAAGGGGAAATTACAAACTTGAGAAGCCTTTTTAAACCTCAAATGCACTACAAGTTTTACATTTTCTGCATTGCTGGAAATTTCTCCTTCAACAGGGTGATCAAATTAAGATCCTACACCTGTATGAGTACAAACCTATGTGCCCATTAGAGACACAGGTTTTGTGAGTTAGAGACACAAGTAGCTCGTGGCTTTATACGCACATACACTACATGGACACCTGCTCGTCGAACATCTCATTCCAAAATCATGAGCATCAATATGGAGTTGGTCCCCCTTTTGCTGCTATAACAGCTTCCACTCTTCTGGGAAGGCTTTCCACTAGATGTTGGAACATTGCTGCGGGGACTTGCTTCCATTTAGCCACAAGAGCATTAGTGAGGTCGGGCACTGATGTTGGGCGATTAGGCCTGGCTCGCAGTCAGCGTTCCAATTCATCCCAAAGGTGTTCGACGGGGTTGAGGTCAGGGCTCTGTGCAGGCCAGTCAAGTTCTTCCACACCAATCTTGACAAACCATTTCTGTGTGGACCTCGCTTTGTGCACGGGGGCGTTATCATGCTGAAACAAGAAAGGGCCTTCCCAGCACAGAATCGTCTAGAATGTCATTGTATGCTGTAGCGTTAAGATTTCCCTTTCTTAACCATGAAAAATAGCCCCAGAACATTTGTCCTCCTCCACCAAACTTTACAGTTGGCACTATGTTCTCCTGGCATCCGCCAAACCCAGATTTGTCCAGAGAACTTGTTTCCACTGCTCCAGAGTCCAATGGCAAATGGGTTTCCTGTCCTTGGCATTGCACATGGTGATCTTAGGCTTGTGCCTGCTCGGCCATGGAAACCCATTTCATCAAGCTCCCGACTAACAGTTATTGTGCTGACGTTGTTTCCAGAGGCAGTTTGGAACTCAGTAGTGAGTGTTACAACCGAGGACAGACGATTTTTACGCACTACGCGCTTCAGCACTCGCCGATCCTGTTCTGTGAGCTTGTGTGGCTGACCACTTTGCGGCTGAGCCGTTGTTGCTCCTAGACTTTCCACTTCACAATGACAGCACTTACAGTTGACCGGGGCAGCTCTAGTAGGGCAGACATTTGACAAACTAACTTGATTTAAAGGTGGCATCCTATGACGGTGCCACGTTGAAAGTCACTGACCTCTTCAGTAAGGCCGTTCTACTGCCAATGTTTGTCTATGGAGATTGCATGGCTGTGTGCTAGATTTTATACTCCTGTCATCAAGGGTGTAGCTGAAATAGCCGAATCCACTAATTTGAAGGGGTGTCCACATACTTTTGTAAATACTGTGTAGTGTATGTTCTGATGTTACTATAAGTCTGTGCACCCGCATGACAATGCTTTGGTGTGACAGGAGGGAACAGCATTTTGATGTTTGTTGCTAAGATAACTGTTGAGGGAGGCGGTTTGCCACGTGAAAGTTACACTGCTGTGAATGTCTTACCTATTTAAAGTGACAAACTGGCCCACGTGTCCTCTTTGTGATGACTTCATAGATCACTTGAGGATTCTCCTTGTTGGATTCTGTAATACAGAGTTTCAGAACGAAGCTCACACAACGATTACAGATCCATCTTCACCAACATGGAAAACAATGTGTATATGTACATGCATTTGCGTTTTTATACTACCGAATCTAACATTTGCGTGTTTGTGTTTTCCATCATCTGCAGCTGTGTGTCATCCTGGAGCCCATGCAGGAGCTCATGTCCAGGCACAAGACCTACAACCTCAGCCCTCGGGACTGTCTGAAGACGTGCCTGTTCCAGAAGTGGCAGAGAATGGTGGCCCCGCCAGGTAACGGTTATACTGCCTTGCTAACCAAACACACTTTAAATGGCACCATATTCCAGATATAGTGCACTACGGGACACAGACAGTTAGTGAGTGCATACATTATTCTTTTTATATATATATATATATATATATATTAATTTTCTTTACTGACCCCCCGTGGGAATCGAACCCACAACCCTGGCGTTGCAAACGCCATGCTCTACCAACTGAGCTACATCCCTGCTGGCCATTCCCTCCCCTACCCTGGACGACGCTGGGCCAATTGTGCGCCGCCCCATGGGTCTCCCAGTCGCGGCCGGCTACGACAGAGCCTGGATTTGAACCAGGATCTCTAGTGGCACAGCTAGCACTACAATACCACTGCGCCACTCGGGAGATATAATGACAATGGTTAGATTGTTACATTTCTAGAGGCCATGTTGAAAGAACAGAGAATGTAATGAATTGGTATTTCTAAATATGTATTATATTGCGTAATACCTCAAATGTGTTCTCCCTGTCAGGAATCAGGAAATCTATCAGGAATTCCTCTGGAATTTTTATTTGAATAGACTGTAACTGGCCATTTCAGGGTTTTATGATTGATGTTCGAAGGCTGGTTCTTGAAAAATAGTTGGCTTAAACTGGCTGTGCAGTATTAAAGCTGGAGTAGAAATGAGAAGGAGTTTTTGAAATATTCAAGGGCTGCAAATTACTGCAATGTTCGCCAGGGCATGACAAGACGTCTTAAAAAAGCAACACAAGTAGAAAGCCTTTGACTCAGACCTGTGTAGTGTGTGAGGCTTGTGAGCTTTAATTAAGGGTGCCTGGTGTAATCAAACTACAAGATCCAACTCCCTCGCTGATAGCTCCCCAGAGGTTTGTATTCTCACTTTGGATAAAAATGTTGTTTTCACTGTCAATGAACGTAGAATCTTCTTGAACAGACGCTTTGAAAAAGGAGAAGTTGAACTGTCAATGTCTAATTGTGCACAAGGAGATACATCTCTGTTCAATTCCATGTTGTATAGTATCAGGGTTCAGTGAAAAATGTTTAAGATGCCAAACGTATCAGCTGTATAGGAGCTGATAGCAGCTTTGGGATCCAGAACCCTCTGTGTATGTCTTTACATATTGCCTTGACTCAATACCTATTTCACTAGTGGACTTTATGCTTAACATTGTATTGGGTGTATAGCAAAGTTATAAGAATGGTAACTTTTATCATTTGATACAGATCTAGGATCAGTTTAGCTGGTCATAAATCTTTCGTGTGCCACTACAGTTCGTCTGTCCGCCTGTGTTTTTAAAGGAAACCAAACTGAACTAAGCTGGTCTAATAATTGTGTAATTGTGGTTTCCTTATTAGTCAAGTTTGTCATCTTTCCTCCAATTCTTCTCGGACCTGGAAAATTGTTATGTTTTAGCGAGGAAGGAAGCACGGATGCATTTATGCACTGATAAGTCTTTTTGATGGAAATGGACGGGTTTTAGTGCGTCATTTGTTCGACATCGACGTAAACAGTCGTGATGCCAGAGAAGGTTGTTTCTGACAATGGACATCATGTTCCTGTACCCGGGTTTGTCAAAGTAGTGGATGGGAATTGGTAATAGACTTGTCACAGTTTTGATCGTTTCTCGTGACAACCTTAGACATTACAATTGAGTAGTAATAGAGAAGTTGATTTGTTTCTGGGTGCAGAGATCACACTTTTGATAATAATAGGTGTATGTTCCTCAGTTATGTTATCTTTTCAGATAAATTATATGTCGCTGGTTGCCTTTGAATGCTAAAGCATCTCCCTTGGTGTGATTAGTATAAGACATGCATTTCATTTTCAGACATATTTTTGAAGATCACAGAAATGTTGTTTTTCCCCCACTGAGATTCAGAGGAATAACATTCTCTCTTACAAACACTTGGTGAAAATAGCTAAATACATTTATTCATAAATTATGTAAATCAGAAACAGATGTAAGTGCTGTTAAGATCTCTACTTAACCTATTTTATTACCTTACACAAAATTAATGATCAAGGATATACACTTTATTTAATTTCATATTTTATTAATTAATTAAATGTCTAGCTCATAATAAATAAATAAAAACATAATTGTACAAGAACTAATAATGTTTTTCAACATTTACTTCTACAGTAATAATGTTGAGACAACATCTTTGTCTGTACATTGCAGTGAATGTACAGCTTTTTTCTCCTTCATTCGCTGTTGTCATTTCTGGTCTCTCTCTCTCTCTCTGATATTTAATTATTTAAAATAATGAATCACATCAATAAAACAAAACTCATTTTGGCTCTGGTTTCAGCTGGACACCCACAGAACTTCAAAACAGAAATATTCCCCACAAATCACAAAAAAGGTACCTTTTCTGTCTTCCTATAGTTTTCAATAGAGATAGAAGTAGTCTAGGAGAGTGCATTCTATTTTCTCTCTGAACGGAATGCCATGAAATACATTGTTGTGTACTTTTCGTCATGAATGCTCAACAACCGTCTAAAAAACGAAGACGAAATTAGATGACTGCATGTCACATACAGTATGTCATACTAAGTCACTATGAAATTCTAAATCATTGACCTGAAATGTTTGCTAAGACACCACACTGTGCATCACCACTTCATATGGTGACGCAAACAAACAAACAAACAATCTGACTCACAAAGACAATTCACAGCAATACAAATAAATCAATTAAATGCATAAAACATATACGCTGGGAGTCAGGAAGCAGGTGCAGAAGGTGAGTTTAATAAAGAAACGATACCGATGAAAAAACATGAGAAGCGTACAGAACGTGAGAAAAAACTAAACCAATACTGCCTGAAGACTGTGGCTACTGAGGGCTAAATAAAGGGGAAGTAATCAAGGTAATGATGAAGTCCAGGTGTGCATAACGATGGGGAACAGGTGTGCGTAATGTGGGTTGCCAGGAACGGTGGTTAGTAGACCGGCGACGTTGAGCGCCAGAGAGAGGGAACGGGAGTAGGCGTGACAAGGTGGTGTTATCTCTCACAGTAGAGTCGTTTTATAAAAGATGGTGTTATCTATCACAGTAGAGTAGTTTTATAAAAGATGGTGTTATCTATCACAGTAGAGTAGTTTTATAAAAGATGGTGTTATCTATCACAGTAGAGTAGTTTTAATGTGGGCAGGCTATTGAGGATTGTACAATACCAAGGTCATTAAGGCATTCACATTAAGTCAAGCAGCACGTTCTATTGTTGAGCATTTATACACATGAAACAGGGGTTCTTTCTAACTAGTGCATGTCTTGGGAGATGTTAACGCCTTTTGATTTCACCTCTGATATTAACAAAGCATGGATAATTTTTGTTGTTGTTGCGTGTTGTACGTATTGTGCATGTGTCTGTCTGTGCATTCTTGCATGGGTGCATGTGTGTGTGCATGTCAATATACACGTATGTACTTTATGAGTTACCCCCACCTTGGTGTATGCATTATGTTGTCCGCCATGGCTCTTTTTTCCTTTGCTGGTCGTGCCAAAGCTGAGCCAACGAGACAGACGACGACGAAGAGGAGGAAAAGGAAGAACTCTGCCAGCAGCGCCAACAGCAGCGTGGGCAACGCCAACAGTAAGAAGAGAAGCCCTGCCAGCAACTTCAGCCTCTCCAGTCAGGTACCTGTAAGCATCAGCTCAACCGGGTTTGGCCCACTCTTACACCCTCTTACACCACTATACACCCCTACACACCCCTATACACCACTATACACCCCTACACACCACAACACCGATACACCCTATACACCACTTACACACCACTATACACCACCATACACCACTATACACCCCTATACACCACTACACACCACTACACACCACCATACACCACTATACACCCCTATACACCCCTATACACCACTACACACCACTATACACCACTACACACCACTATACACCCCTATACACCACTACACACCACTATACACCACCATACACCACTATACACCACCATACACCACTACACACCACTATACACCACTATACACCCCTAAACACCACTATACACCCTTACACACCACTATACACCCCTATACACCACTATACTTATCCAGAGCGACTTACCGTTTTTTCATACTATACACCTCTATGCACCACTATACACCCTTTTACACCACTATACACCACTATACACCACTTATACACAACTACTATAGACACACAGGCAGGAAGGCATGTAATGAAACACAACAATTCATTTATAGGACTATCAATCTACCGTCATAATGTGTTTATTCAAGTATTAATCTAGAATTATCCTCCCCTGTTGCTTCATACCCTCTGCTCTGGGGAGTGCTATATCAACTGGCGCACCATGTCTCTAGTCTATCCCATGCATAGCATATTTTCTTCCTCGACATGTCAATACGGGGCCACTTGACACAGTTTGAGGTTAAACACCTACTTAAACCACTGAGTGTTACACCTCGCGCTTCACATCACCCCAGGGGATAAAGTGCTATTTCGCCTCAATTGTTTGGACAAGCTATAGTACTTTCTCACTATCACACACTGGGTTTGCTGTATGGACTGTTAGGAGTCATACTGACTGCTTAGGACTGTAGTCCCTCTGGATGGGGGGGGGGGGGGGTTTAGGAGGGAGGGAGGCAGGGAGGGAGACTGGGGATCTGTGAACCCTCTTTGTTTGGGTTGGGTTGTTCCTCACGGTGCTTTTTAATCCACAAGGCATCTCTTTTTTCTCTCTTTTTCTTTCTCTAGGTATATATTTTTTATGTCCCTCTCTCCCTCCCTCTCCCTCTCGCTCGCTCTCTCCCTCTCCCTCTCTCTCTCTCTCTCTCTCTCTCTCTCTCTCTCTCTCTCTCTCTCTCTCTCTCTCTCTCTCTCTCTCTCTCTCTCACACACCCACATAGACACAGCCTCTCCAACTCAAGCTCCCCCCTCTCTCTTGCTCTTTCTCGATCTCTCTCCCTCACTCTCCCTTTCTCACACACACATAGACACACACCCTCTCCAACTCTAGCTTCCTCTCACTCTCTTTCACCCCCCCAACCCCCCTCCCCTCTTCTCTCTCTTACTCAATCACTCGGATGCACACACACACACACACACACACACACACACACACACATTGTTTTCTTGGTGGGAGGCTGTTTGGCTCTGTGCCATCTCTCATTATCACACAGTATATCTGTATACACCCCCTTCTCCTTTCCTTCCCACACACACACTCCTCTCCCTCCCCCCCCTCCTTTCTTTAAAAACACACACTTCCTATGGTTAATGTTGACATGCGTCTTTAAGAGCAGTGACGGTAACATGCTGGTTACATATGTTGCACGCCTGCTAGCTTTGTCTGAGAAGTTGTTCGTTCGTTGGCTGAGCACAGGCCCTACGTGAGCCCAATGACAATAAGGAGAGGACAGGGAGAAAAGGGAGGGAGCGGGTGAATGGGGGGCATAGGGAAGGGAGGGGGAGTGGGTTGTTGTGTTGTTCAACAGGGACCTCTACTGGTCGCTGGGCTGAAATGACATTGAAAACTATGTAGAGTGCTACTAAGAAAACCATGCAGAGTCCTACAATGTGTTTGCTGGGGGATTCTTTGGGAACATTCAGATAGAAATTGATTGTGTAGAACAAATATGATTGTCTGTCAGGTAGAAAACGGAAGTGTGTTGTTAGCTCTATTTGTTACGTGTCTATGTGTATCCCTCTGAACATTTCACCTCATAGGCCTTTACCTACACATTTTGTATTTGCAGATCTTAAGGGACTAGATAGGTTTATGCTGAAGGCTCAGCCAGCCTTTCAATGGGCATAGAGGAGCATCCACCATATTGCTTACACCTGTCCAGTTCCTTCAGATCTGCAAACACAGAAGAAGTAGGGGCAAGGAGAAGGGGATTGTCTAATATCTCAAAAAGGGTGCTAATACACTAACTTATGATCAGACAATGAACATTCTTAGCTGTCTTAACAGCCCATAGGTCCATTCAGGGCTAGCTAATGCTAAAGATAATGAGATGAGTAGATGAAACATTATTAATTAGATCACAATGTACACTCCCCCAATCCCAGTCTGACCACCAGCTGTTGTCATTGGTGGGAGGGGTGGGGGTGGGTCGGGGGGGTTGGCCCAAACAGGCCAGAGGTAGATTGACAGCCACCCTCGCAGGAACAGATGGCGAATTTAAGGCTTGTTGGCAATCAGCACGTTTTGAGCTAATGACTTAATTAGCTATGCAAATTGACAAATCAGTGTGGATATTGTCATTTAGTCAAAAATCTCACCTAAATTAATTAGTGTGATTAAGGCATAGTAGGGTGTAGAGGCGGGAGCTAGGGGGGTTTGAGAGACGTTGCCAACCCCCCCCCCCCACCAATCCGGATCCTCTGGTTGGTGTGTGTTTGTGTGTTTGTGTGTGTGTCTGCATGTGTGTGTTTGTGTGTGTGTCTGCATGTGTGTGTTTGTGTCTGCGTGTGTGTGTCTGCGTGTCTGCGTGCGTGTGTGTTCATACATGTGCACACATCTGCACATCAGAGGAGGTTAGCGAGAGCTCCCATGCCACGCCGCATTGACACACATGGGCAGTGAACCGTGTGTTTCATTTAACTGTGTAGCTTCCTCCTGAGATGCAGTGGGAGGTTGTGGGCTGCTGAGGAGAGAGAGGGTTTAGCAGACCAGGGAAAATGAGATATACAACTCAGCCTGCCTAGAACAACCAATACTGTCCTAACATAGTCAATTTGATCACATACAGTTGAAGTCGGAAGTTTACATACACCTTAGCCAAATACATTTAAACTCAGTTTTTCACAATCCCTGACATTTAATCCTAGTAAAAATTCCCTGTCTTAGGTCAGTTAGGATCACCACTTTATTTTAAGAATGTGAAATTTCAGAATAATAGTAGAGAGAATGATTTATTTCAGCTTTTATTTATTTCATCACATTCCCAGTGGGTCAGAAGTTTACGTACACTCAATTAGTATTTGGTAGCATTGCCTTTAAATTGTTTAACTTGGGTCAAACGTTTCAGGTAGCCTTCCACAAGTTTCCCACAATAAGTTGGGTGAATTTTGGCCCATTCCTCCTGATAGAGCTGGTGTAACTGAGTCAGGTTTGTAGGCCTCCTTGCTCGCACACGCTTTTTCAGTTCTGCCCACAAATGTTCTATAGGATTGAGGTCAGGGCTTTGTGATGGCCACTCCAATACCTTGACTTTGTTGTCCTTAAGCCATTTTCCCACAACTTTGGAAGTGTGCTTGGGGTAATTGTCCATTTGGAAGACCCATTTGCGACCAAGCTTTAATTTCCTGACTGATGTCTTGAGATGTTGCATCAATATATCCACATAATTTTCCTTCCTCATGATGCCATCTATTTTGTGAAGTGCACCAGTCCCTCCTGCAGCAAAGCACTCCCACAGCATGATGCTGCCACCCCCGTGCTGCACGGTTGAGATGGTGTTCTTCGACTTGCAAGCATCCCGCTTTTTCCTCCAAACATAACGATGGTAATTATGGCCAAACTGTTCTATTTTTGTTTCATCAGACCAGAGGACATTTCTCCAAAAAGTAAGATCTTTGTCCCCATGTGCAGTTGCAAACCATAGTCTGGCTTTTTTATGGCGGTTTTGGAGCAGTGGTTTCTTCCTTGCTGAGCTGCCTTTCAGGTTATGTCGATATAGGACTCGTTTTACTGTGGATATAGATACTTTTGTACCTGTTTCCTCCAGCATCTTCACAAGGTCCTTTGCTGTTGTTCTGGGATTGATTTGCACTTTTCGCACCAAAGTACGTTCATCTCTAGGAGACAGAACGCGTCTCCTTCCTGAGCGGTATGACGGCTGCGTGGTCCCATGGTGTTTATACTTGCGTACTATTGTTTGTACGGATGAACGTGGTACCTTCAGGCTTTTGGAAATTGCTCCCAAGGATGAACCAGACTTGTGGAGGTCTACCATTTTTTTTCTGAGGTCTTGGATGATTTATTTTGATTTTCCTATGATGTCAAGCAAAGAGGCACTGAGTTTGAAGGTAGGCCTTGAAATACATCCACAGGTACACCTCCAATTGACTCAAATGATGTCAGTTAGCCTATCAGAAGTTTCTAAAGCCATTACATATTTTCTGGAATTTTCCAAGCTGTTTAAAGGCACAGTCAACTTAGTGTATGTAAACCTCTGACCCACTGGAATTGTGATACAGTGAAATAATCTGTCTGTAAACAATTGTTGGAAAAATTACTTGTGTCATGCTCAAAGTAGATGTCCTAACCGACTTGCCAAAACTATAGTTTGTTAACAAGAAATTTGTGGAGTGGTTGAAAAACAAGTTTTAATGACTCCAACTTAAGTGTATGTAAACTTCCGACTTCAACTGTATTTATAACTACCAGTAATCAATCATCTAACATTTCTTAAATTATTGAATTGCATCTCCTAGATACTCACTTATGTTTAGACCTGTACAGTGGGGGAAAAAAAGTATTTAGTCAGCCACCAATTGTGCAAGTTCTCCCACTTAAAAAGATGAGAGAGGCCTGTAATTTTCATCATAGGTACACGTCAACTATGACAGACAAAATGAGATTTTTTTTCTCCAGAAAATCACATTGTAGGATTTTTAATGAATTTATTTGCAAATTATGGTGGAAA